TGAATAAATATACTTCTATAAATCGAGCACGTCCCATTTTGCAAAAGTCACGTTACATGATTTTACTGATTTGCACATGAAATTGGGCTTTATGGAGAAACGAAAGCGCACTGCTGGAAAGGGGGCGGAATGGGCCGCAATAATAATTTTATCATGTGCTCAGGGTGAACCTGCTCTCATCTGTGAAAAGCACAGGGTGCCAGTGGCGGACCTGCCAATTCTGGTGTTCAATGGCAAATGCTTAACAACTGCTTAATGCTTAATAACTGATTAACAACCCCCTCTGCTACTTAACTGACCAGATCAATATCCCAGGAGTTTAATTGACTTGATGCTATGCTCTGATTAAAAAGTGTTCCTTTAATTTTTTTGAGCAGTGTAGTTTACTTATAGTTATATAATTATAGTCTCGTCACATTGCAAAACATCTGACCTCCCTGCTTAAAAAAAACTATAGAAACCATCACAGAAATGGTTTCCACTACAAATACCATTACAAACATTACAAACCATCAACTTTTAACCATTAAAAAATGCTTTTCTGTAGTGTGTTTTGGGATATATTCCATTAGGATTTAGTGGTTTTAACAAGCCACCAATAAAACCAGTACAATTCCCCTTATAACCAGTAAAACCACTACAAATTCTGTGATGGTGTCTATTGTTTTTTTTTTTTCTGCAGGGCTGTATCGGATTTAGTACTACATATGGAAGTGGCACAAATCAGAATTGAAAAGATCAGATTCCATGTGGTTTGTGCCGTTTACACTGTGATGAGAAAATCAGATCTGAGTCACATGTGAGCAAAAAAATCAGATTTGGGCCACATTTGCCTGCAGTGTGAAGTATCCTTTGTGTAAGGTTGTAACATCTTTTTTTTTTCTTTGTACTGCAAACACTACTGTAAACAGATGAGGTTGAATTTCGAATGGCAGTAAAAAAAAAAAATCGTACGAGAGGCCTCAGCCTCAGCGCACCGCGGAGGAAACGTGTAAACGGGGGGTGTCTCCCCACTGACTGGCCACCGAGAGGGGCGTGGTAGGTCGCAATGGCCACCACGTAGACCTTAAGGGTGGAGTGGGTTAACCCTGTAGAGAAACGAGCCTGCAGGAACTCCAGTACTGTACCAACTGGGCAGTTAGCTGGGTCGAGCTGGCGGTCTCTACACCAGGAAGTGAAAAGATTCCACTTCAACGCGTACAGTTTCCTCATGGAGGGAGCTCTGGATTGGAGGATT